CAGATTCCTAACGAAGAGGCTTGGGGAGTCACTGCCAGACAAGGACTCACCAAAATAGTTTTTATCACCCTATTACCCTAGATCCTAAAGTCTGCTCTCCAACCTGACTCTGGCATAACATAATCTAACAATATAACATGACATGACATGACATGACATAACATAACATTAGAAGGGTTATGGCCCTGAAAAGTCATCTTCTGTGGATCCCAGACTCCAGGAACCTTGTAAGACATTTATCTATCCTCCCTGAAGTCTGTCACAGACAGGACTTCATCAACATATCAACAAACCTGGAGTCTTTCTGCCCTTAGTCTCAGTAAAACACCTTATCTCCTGATGAGAACTACATACCACCAGTGAAAAAAAAATTGTTGAATCCACCTGATACAGAGACCCCTTATTGCCACAGCCTCTAGAGAAGAGCATCGTGAGGGATTGAGTAGGCCCGCATCTGCCCAACATTCCTGGGAGCTAACAAAAAGTGTGCTTCCCCTTACCTCCTATGCACTCCCAGTAAGTAACTTCAAAGTATCCTTAACTTTCCCCTGCAGACTGTACCCAATTAGCTGAGAGATGTAAACCCCCACTTCCTCCATTTCCTTGGTAGTCACAGGTTTGAATAATATAGTACCAAGGTAAGTCTTGTGATTTGTATAACTTTTGTATCAACATAATCATAAGATTTGTGACTTGTATAACTTTTGCACATAACAACAGGTAGTAATGTATAATGTCTTAGGCCTTGTTAATTCCCTTCACTCTATAGCAAGCTTGATTAACACCTCTGCCTGATGTTACTGATAAAAGTTATGAGATACGTCTGGTAACTGGTGTCAGGAAATGTGGACCATAAATGTCATTACTGACAAAATGTGGCTATGATTTAAGTTCTATACAGTGCTCTGCTAGTCACATAGACAATGTATAGGTATCAACTACCCCAAACTTATAAAAGCAGACTATAAAACTTGAAGGGTGAGCAGAACCATTTCAAGAGGCCAAAAACCTGGCTCTGCTCCCTGGATTCAACTTCAGAAATAAACCTCTTTCTACCAGTTTCCTGCCCCTTGATTGAATGGTACTGATGGACAGCAGTGGAGTATTACTCGGACTGTAACATACCTATGACCTGCAAGCCCCCGCTTGAAATGTCCCTCCTTCCTGGGCCAAACCAAGGGAAATCTCACATGTATTGATTTACATTTTTTGTAACTTTTGCTACCCTAAAACTGCAAATAACCACACTGTCATTTGGCCACACTGGACACACTTTCTCAGAACCTCCTGAGGAAGGATTTTCTGGGCTTAAGTTCTCAAGTTTGGCTCAAGAATAAACTATCTTAAAATATTTTACAGAGTTTGGAATCTTTTTGTCAACAAAACAGATGAGACTAATTAAGTTTCTGAGCCAATTTTAAGGAAATATAAGATCACTAGAACCTGTTGAGTTTGAAAATAAAACTTTCTCATCCTTAGACTCTCCCAGCAAAAGACACACAAGATAAGAATGACTTCAGAAAATGATCAACACACTAAAAGTATAATCGTATTATGGTTCCTCATGCTATGTATCAAAATGTTTTAAATAAAAAGTATTGAACATATAAAAATGACTTCAAGACAGATAAAATTCAGACTACAACAAATAAAGCATGACCTTAGGGTAAAGATATGTGTGTATATATATATATTTTTGAGTTAGAGTTTCACTGTATCACCCAGACTGGAGTGCAGTGGTACTCTCACGACCACCCCAGCGTCGAATGGCTGGGTTCTGATGATCCTTCTGTCTCAGCCTTCCAAGTAGCCGGAACTACAGGCACATGCTACCATGCCTGGCTAATCTGCTCGAACTCATGGGCTCAGGCAATCCACTCTCCTCAGCCTGAAAAAGTGCTGGAATTACAGGTTGAGCCACCAAGCCCAGCCTAGGTAAAATTCTTAAGGGTGTGGCTGCAAGACGCTTTGCAAAGACCTCAGAATAACCTACTGTGCACCTAGTAAGGCTTGTAAAAGTCTTAAGAGTTTGCTTAGTAGATCCTCTCAGTTAAACACTAACACTTTTAAGATTCTTAAGTGTATTATCTCACAACAGCCTCACAGGTAGCCCTAGGTAGAGAAGGAGCTGTCTCAGAAAGAGATGTAGATGTGGCTTTTATCTAACAGTGCTGATCATAAATTTATACAAAAGATCTCACAACATTTTTAAAGGAATTGCACTAGCTTAGATTGAAAAACAACACAAAAGGAAATGAGGTCTTTTAGACTCCCAGCCTTCTACAGGAAGAAATCGTGTTGAGAACACTGAGAAAGGTATTCAGAGGTACACGATTCTTATGGAAAAGAAGGGATGGCTCAGAGGGCAGAATCACAGCCTGGCGGATCAAAACTGAGTCTCACTCAAAGTGCACTTTTTGATCCTGAAGCAGTGACAACTGGTAGATATAAGAATTTCTACAGATGGTATCTACTATGTGCCTCCTACTCTCCCCGCCCCTTTTGAAGTAGGACTATCTACTGCGTCCTTTTCCTCTGTTATCATTTTATTATTTTTTTTTATTTTATTTTTTTTTGAGTTGGAGTCTCACCCTGTTGCCCAGACTGGAGTGCAGTGGCCGCTCCTGGCCACCGCAGCCTTGACCTGCCGGGCTCCAGCAATCCTTCCGCCTCAGCCTTCCAAGTAGCTGGAACTACAGGCACGCGCTACCACGCCCGGCTAATTTTTTGATTTATTGTAGAGATGAGGTCTCACCAAATTGCCCAGGTGGGTCTTGAACCCGCGGGTTCAGGCAATCCACTCACCTCAGCCTCCCAAGGCACGGGATTACAGACTGAGCCACGGAGCCCGGCTCTCTGTCATCATTTTAAAATGTGGGGGATGGGAAGGTAAGGTGGTGACAGATAACTTGTCTCTTTAGTCCACAGGTCTTAAGATGAGAAGAAATGTTCTTGATGATCGTACCTAAGGAATTGCACCTAGGGACACTTGGATATATGGGGACCTGGTTCTGAGGACCTATTCCTGGATTTTGGGCCAATGTGGTAATTGGATGAGTCTTGGAATAATTTGTAACTCAGTAATAGAGCACATTGAAAGGGCAGAATTGACTTTTCTTCAGTTCTTTGTAGCTGAAGAAACACAGACCGACTAGCCTGTCAACTGAAAACCTAAGATGGCAATACTCTAGAAACAGAAATTAGTCAAAAGTTGACTGAATCTTATTCAAATGGAAGCCTGCCCTAAGCTGGCACAATCCCTGACTGAACTGAGTGATCAGTCTTCAATGCTAGCATAAGGTGAATGCTCTAGTGGGAGATAACATCATCCAGGGTCACTACAGTTATTTTCTGTACAATACCTGGTATATAATAAAATATTATTATATGTGGAAAGAAACCAACCATATAACTAAAAACAAAGAAAAAAGCAGCTCAAGTCCCTAAAAGGTTGTTATGCATGATAATAAGGCCAATTCTTTCAGACAAGGGTATCTAAGAATTCAGAGTTCTCGGCATCATCTGTGTCTGTCAAATATTCCCATTCCAAGCCTCAGGGACCCATGCCTTTCCAGCCAGTGCCCTTACCTTAGAGTAACAGATCCCTGGGGTTGTGTATTTAAATGCCTTTACAGTTTTGCAACCCACACTGTTAGGCCTTGGGCCTGAACATCAGCCATATCTATCTTGCATCTATAAAAAATAAGATATCCCTTTAAGACCACCATAAAAGCTTTCTGTTTATTCCCCACCCACTCCAGCCCCAACCTTGAGAGTTCAAGATGCCAGAGGCTGTGTTGATTTTCCAGCAAAAGGAGCACATCCATACAGCAGCTGTGATGGCCATCTCCACCTGCCTGCCTAAGTCTCTGGTAATCTTCAGTGATTCAAGTCTCACCTTGCTACCCTCTGCCCTCCTACCACTGCCTTGCATTGGTCAATCTCTACCAGAAGGTACATAGCCCAGATGACAGAGGTCATAGAGGTCAGTCTCTAGGGAGGGAGCGTGAGAAGAGAAGGAAGAGGAACAAGCCTGGTGAAGCAAATGGGAATAACAGCACAAGCCATATACCTGTTTCTCAGATAGGTACTCAAGAAAATGATCCACAAATTAGAGTTATGGATAAGCAAGGAAAAGAAAGACAGGCACTGGAAAGAGGGGATTCAGCATGAATGGAGTAGCCAGGATGATGAAGAAAAGAAGCCCCAAGGCATCAGTCTGCAAGAATCTTAGCAGCAAGTGAATTTTGGAATGAGAGGACCAAATTTGAAGAAAAAAAAAAATTACTGAACATTGCAGCACTGCAGAACATGCTGCAAGGAGTTTTGTAGTTTTTAAGGGAATTCAGAGGATAAATTAGTGATAGGCACACAGAAAACTAAGTAAAGAAAATTGTAGGTAACTATCAGTTATAGGAAAGACACAACAGGGCAAGAATGGAAATGTAATCCTAGTAGCCCACGTGTGTCACCTCTGAACAATATCTGTACAATCCTAATCATGTAAAGAATAAAGAGTTTCCAATCTATGAACTTGTTCAAGGAGGTATTTTACACAATTGGTTTTTCCCTCTTTCTTTGGGCTGGCCAATCACCGAGAGTCATGCTACAGGCAACAGAGGATCCCCTGTGGCCATCGACCACATTTGGAGAAGCAGGGCCCCACAGGTTAGCATCTGTGCCAGAGTAGACACTACTCCTTTGTTCTCTTCCACAGGGAGTCCCACACTTGGTCAAATGCTGATCTTTGTGTTCCACCTGCTCTAAAAACTTATAGGTGCATTTTATGAAATCCAGGAATACATCTAGGGAAAACAGAAATCAGTTTCATGTTTTTATTAGAAGGTACAATCCAGTATCTCTCATTTTTAGGTTCAAAATTCTTATTAATGTTACCAATATAATATTAATGGAAATGCTTGACCATTTTATTATGAGAGAGAAAAGTAAAATGTAAAATGGAGTTGAATAAGAATACAATATTTTAAAACTTAACTTACTCGCATGAAATCCATAAGTGTATTATAAATGAAGGCTCCTCTGGGAAGAAAAAAACAGCTTCCAGGACTCAGATCATGGAAAAAGAAAAGTTCTTGTTCCTAGATTGAAACAATAATTGCATTTTAAATGTCATCTACTGTTGGTTAATACTGCACACACGATATGCTAGGAATCAAACAGATCATACTTAGTTATTTCCACTTTCTAATAATTGATGTTACAAGGCCCCTCAATACTTATACCTAAATATATGTAATATAATGTGTAAAAGGACAATTCATTATTTTAATCTTGAACATAACGTTACATCACCTTTTCTATTTACTACCAATTTCCTTACTTGGCACACTTGGAGCATGTATCCCATGGGGAAACAACATGGTGAAAAGGTAAGAAAAGTTCACTGAAGGAGGTGGGCTTTAAGTGATGATGTTGATTATAATGGCTGCCACTTACTGAGAGCCTGCACTGCACTGGGTGCCATCATCCAGTGTATGCCCACATCAACCCTGCATGGAGACTCAGCAAGAGAGAAAAGGCCACGGCATTTCCTAAGTGAATGCCTTGCCCATCACCCAACACAGCCAGTAAGCGGCAGAACTAAGACTGAAACTCAGGTCTAGCTACTCTAAGCCTCATTCTTCCTTTCTACACACTCCTCTGCCTCCCAAATACAATGCATGCTACTGAGTACACACAATGTGGAAAAACTTTATTTTTGTATCATGATAAAAATAAGAGTAGGATGCAATTTTTAAAATCTAATAAAGATACAGGAAGGCAGGAGGTTAGAAGACATTTAGGGTATTAGCATGAAAGAAAGAACTCAACAGCAGACTTTGAGTGCCAGCAAAACAGAAGATAAAAAGAGAAGAAGAAATCTTATTTTTAAAATAATTTCATTTCATGAGACATAATCATAAGCCAAGAAAGGCCTTTTAGCTCCATAGTGTTTAAGACACGGGGCATACCTTTCCGATCTTCCTGTGGTCTCGGTTCTTGACTTCCTCTTGGAACTTCTCCCAGGTTGTCATCATCTTGTTATCAGGAAAGGATATCCCATAGATCCTCTGCAGTGTCTCCATTTCAGGATTGCCCTCCCAATATGTTGAGGAATTCTAAATATCAAACAAGATTTTGGTAAACAAAGCTAGATTTAGTTATAAATAAACTGCTCTTTATAAATAAAAGAGCAGCTTATTTATAATAAACTAAACTAATTTTCCATTAAAACATCAATACAGCTTACTTCAAGACAACCTCTTATAGTGCTAGCAATAATCTTACATGGATTCTAACTAAACCTTCCCCACCCAAATTATACCATGAATCAGTAAGTTCTAGGAATGAAGTGAAAGTGAGTGGAAAGGAGGGATGCCTAGACAACAATGATACCTAGGAGGTGGCAGAAGAGGCTGGAGGTACAGGGGTGGAAAGATCAGTCTTGCTGATCTCCACATTGAGTAAAACAGTGCTGTCATCCAGCCCACATTTTATGGTAAGAAAACCAAGGCCCAGAAAGGTTGAGACTGCCCAGTCGCTCCCATGGCTCCTGACTCCTAGAGCGGTGCTTTCTCCATTATACCATCAAATGTCCTTTGCTTTTTTTCTTTTTCTGATAGTACATTATTCTCACATGCAGACAGATACTCTGGCTCGTTTTAGGGCAATTCAAGAAAACCATAGGGTATAGAACAGTATTTCAAAATACCATATGAGTCGGGCATGGTGACTCATGCCTGTTATCCCAGCACTTTGGGAAACAGTGGCAGGAGGCTCACATTGAGCCCAGGAGTTCGAGACCAACCCAGGCAACATAGGGAGACCTCATCTCTACAAAAAATCAAAACGTAGCCAGGTGTGGTGGCATGTGCCTGTAGTCCCAGTTACTAGGGAAGCTGAGGCAGAAGGATCATCTGAACCTGGCAGGTCAGGGTGGCAGTAAGCCATGATCGTGCCACTGTACTCCAGCCTGGGCAACAGAGTGAGACCTCAACTAAAATAATAATAAGAAGAAGAAGAAGAGGAAGACGACGACGATGAAGAAGAAGATGAAGAAGACGAAGAAGAAAAAGAAATACATCCTAACACTTACAATAAGGTTAAATGATAAAAGCTAAAAGCTACCTATAATGTAGTGTTCTAATTATCAAAATTCTACATAATTGCATTAGTTTTAATCATATAAAGTATTTTAAAATATCATGTTCAGACCACAAAACACAGAATTGAAATCCCTTATCTAGTCTACCTTAGGTTTGCTATATTTAAAAAAAATCCCTACCTTGAAAATTTTTATGGTTTTAATTTTTCCAGTGTGTCTCACATGGGGGCCTTTACAAAGGTCAATCAGTGGACCACACCTATAATGAAATATTTAGGACATGTTCAGACACAGTTATAGCTTTTTGGATTATTCAATAGCCCTCTAATTTTATGACAAAAATACCTAATTGTTCCTTGGTTTATTAACACAGAGCCCCGACTTACAATGCAAATATCAGGCAAAAGTTTGGGTCAAAGATGACACCACTATTAAAACACTCAGGACTGTAGCTAGGGATTTGCTTGCACATGTACTAGGAAGGATCTCCAAAAAACCCAGAATTACCTTTTGGAGGGTAGGTTCCTTATAGTACTGGCTTCCCTCACTAGGTAAGTGTTATAGGAACCCATCGGCATCAGTGTACCAGCTAGCATTGTTGTGAGAGGCTGCAGTTGGTTTCAATGAATTCTTTTGTGGCAAATAGGTGACTGATTCTTCCACCATGACAATGAACCTGCCCACACCATGCTGAGTGTTCAGCAGTTTCTGGGCAAAATGGCATGATCCCCATGTTCCACCCTTCCTATGCACCTGATCTCACCCCAAGTGGCTTCATTTTTGTTTCCTTGGATGAAAAAAGTCCTCAAAGGGGGCTGGGCATGGTTTCTCAAGCCTGTAATCCCAGCACTTTGAGAGGGTGAGGTGAGGGGATTGCCTGAGCCCACGGGTTTGAGAACAGCCTGGGAAACTTGGCGAGACCTCATCTTTACAATTAATCAAAAAATTAGCCAGACATGGTAGCGCGTACCTGTAGTTCCAGCTACTTGGAAGGCTGAGGCGGAAGGACTGCTTGAGCTCAGCAGGTCAACGCTGGGGTGGCCATGAGTATGCCAATGCACTCCAGCCTGAGCAACAGAGTAAGACTCCAACTCAAAAAAAAAAAAAAAAAAATCCTCAAAGGGAAAACTTTTTGCCTATATGGAAGAAGTGAAACAAAAAAACAGCAGAAGCACTAAAAGGTATCCAAATCGACAAGTTCAAAAACTGTTTTGAGCAGGGGAAAAAGCATCTTGATAGGTGTATTGTATCAAATAGAGAGTACTTTGAAGGTAACTGAAGTTTAAACATGTAAGAATAAACACACAATTTTTTATAAATAAATTCTAGGTTTTTTGGGTCCTCCCCAGTAATGAACAAAGACCTCCCAAACCTTAATAAGCACAATCTTTTTTTCAAGTTCAGATGTATTAACAGAGTTAAAATATAAATAAGAAAAGTCAGAGGGAAGGTTACTTAACATTAACCAATGTAAGGAAATTTTAGTAAAGAAAATAATACCATAACTATTCTAGTCAATTTTAAATGTTTTTTAAGTTCACCGATTTGAAGTATAAAAACTACAGAGTACACAAAAAGAGACTGGCTTATAGACTGACAAAGTTCTAAACATGAAAACAACATTTCTTTGAATGACCAGGCTTTGTTTTCTAAGATGCTTTTCTTTCTTTCTTTCTTTCTTTTTTTTTGAGTTGGAGTCTCACTCTGTCACCCAGACTGGAGTGCAGTGGCCGCTCCCGGCCACCGCAGTCTCGACTGCTGGGCTCCGGCAATCCTTCCACTCAGCCTTCCAAGTAGCCAGAATTACAGGCATGCGCTACCACGCCCGGCTGATTTTTTGATTTATTGTAGAGATGAGGTCTCGCTGCCCAGGCGGGTCTCGAACCCACAGGTTCAGGCAATCCACTCACCTCAGCTTCCCAAAGGCGCAGGATTACAGGCTGAGCCACCGAGCTCGGCTTTCTAAGATGTTTTTCTAAGATGGAAGTTGCGAGTAACACTCAAAGGAAAGGAATGAATGCCTAATTAGCCCAAGTCTTCAAAACTCCAATCTTCTAATCCCATAAATAAAAGCTCTTTTTTCCTCCAGGAATTAAATACATGTCATTCAAATTGATAGGATACAAAAAGTGTCAATGTTGACTTAAGTAAGGTCCTAAAACCAAAAGGTCAACTGTTAGAAGCCAGAAATGTAAAACTTAGCATACCTGTTGTATATCTTCATTTTTAAACTTTAAGATAGTTATACTAACATTTATTTAAATTGTAGGTAATACATAATAAAACCTTATCAGGTCATTGGAAGGTACCAAACATAGTATAACATAATATTCCACATCAATGTCAAATGGCAACAAATTCATATCATAACTTAAGAAATGTACTATGCATAGCTATACACAAAGGGGATACGATTTTACTTATAGAACAATTAAAGCAGAGAACCATGAGAATTTGACTGTGGAAAATAAGTGCCCCGGTAGAGGACAATTGTGGTCACAATTATATAGAAACCAGGTTTCTAGGCAGGACCGTGAAGGTCCCAGCAGCACCCATATGGCTGGAATACACAGAAAGGGGACTAGCAATTACCCATAAGGCAGCTTTAAAAACCACATAAATAAAAAGAGGCTCAGAAGCCTAACAGAACTAAGGGATTCTGGTGTTGATTTCACCTGCCTCTTCTTACTATTTGATTTTGCTTTTGCACCCAATATTTTTTTTTGTCTCATTATGAATATCCTGCTAATGCAGGAAGGCTGATATATTTGGAGTCTAGATAATGGGGAGTACAATATGAGGCCAAGAATCACTGTGAGAAGAGACAACTCCTATGGCTCCCATTGCCACATTAATAAGGAGGTGGAAGGATGAACCAGAAACTCCTTGTCCCAACAGCTCCCCAAACTGTAAGGCACCAGGTGAACATAGTCTCACCCACATGGAGAAAGATCCTGTTATAGCTAACAACCAGAATATGAAATTTGAGTCTCTGTACCATCCTAATAACTAAAAAGGAGAAAAGAATGACTTCCCTTAGGTGAAAACGTTTTGGAGCTCCTTACTAAAGTGTATATCAGCTATGCAACTTAAATGTCCATCCACCAGAAAACAAACTGCTTCTACTTCAAATGCCTTCACATTTACCACTGAGCAGTGCTTAAAAGGTAAGAACACAAACCTGTAAACTGTGGTAGTTGGAGTGTTAACCTTCTTATTCAGCATGCGGCATTTAAATTTATTGTACTACAAGGAAAAATATATTTACATATTATTACACAAAACGTTTGAATGAAAAATACTAACTCTACTTTCTTCAAGAAATATTGAAAGGGCATTGAATAATATTCTAGGTGCTGAGACACTACAGATCCAAAGAGCTCACAGCCCATAGCTGTCCAATATGGGAGCCAGCAGACCACATGGCAACAGGGACTTAAAATGTGCTAATCTGAAGCAAGATAGGCTGTAGTGTAAAATACAAACACGCTGGCTTTAGAAGTGCTGTATAGGGAAAAAAACGAATATAAAATAGTTCACTAATTTTTTTATATTGGCTACATGTTAAATGGTATTTTTTATTGTAGGTTAAATAAAATTGTATTAAAATTAATTTCACCTTTCTTTTATTTTTCAAATATGATGTCAGAAAATTTAAGATTACATATGTGGCTCAGATTTGTGGATCACATTATATTTCTATTGGACAACACTATTCTAGGAGATCTTATTTTGACTACTTGAAATAAATAAAATTCTGACAAAGACAGAACTACATTATTAATTTGTTTAAAAACGAACATAAAGTGTATAATAAGTGAAAAATAGCACTACAATAAAAAAACGAATGTAATTATTTTCTTTTCCTTTTCTGCTTTCATCACTATATCATGATACCAAACATTAAATAATTACTTAAAGGAAGTAGTTGTTAGGAAGCTAAAAAAAAAAAAAATCCCAGACTTGTATGATTTAACTGCTTCATATCTATATGCCCAAATCAAATCATTTTCTTTCACAAAGATTCATTTCATTTAGTTCATAAAAGTATAAAAAAGGCAACTCACAGAAGAGAATAAAATATTTGCAAATTATGTATTTGCTAAGGGATTTATATCTAGAATATATAAAGAACTCCTATAACTCAAACGAACAAACAACCTGACTCAAAAATGGGCAAAAGATTTGAATAGACATTTTTTTTAAAAAGTCATTTCTCCAAAGAAGATATAAAATTAGTCAATAAACACATTAAGATGCTCATCACTATTAAATCATTAGAAAAATGAGTCAAAACCACAATGAGTTACCACTTCACATCCATTAGAATGGCTATGATTTTTTAAAAACCCAGAAAATAACAAGTGCCAATAAAGTTGTAGAAAAATGGGAACCCTTGTGCATTGTTTGTGGGAATGCAAAATAATGCAGCTGCTGTGTCAAATGATATGGCAAGTCCTCAAAAAATTAAAAATAGAATTGCCATACGATCCAGCAATTCCACTTCTGAGCATATACCCAAAAGAAGTGAAAACAGGAATTGAAACAGGAATCTGTACACCAATGGATTATAGTCAAAAGGTAGAAGCAACCTAAGTGTCCAGAGATGGATGAATCAATAAACACAATTGTATATACATACAATGGGATATTATTCAGCCTTAAAAAGAAAGAAATTTTTGACACATGCTACAACATGAACCTTAAGGATATTATGCTGAGTGAAACAAACTAATCACAAAAGGAAAAATACTGCATGATTCCACCAATATGATGTCCTAAGTGTAGTAAAATTCATACGGATAGTAAATAGAACAGTGGTTGCTAGGGGCAGGGGCCAGGAAGGAATGGGAAAAGAGTTTCTGTCTGGAAAGATGAAAAGCTCTGGAGATAGATGGTGGGGATCACTGCACAACACTGTGAGTGTACTTAATGCTACAGAACTGTATGCTTAAAAATGGTTAAAATGGTAAGTTTTTTATTTATATAATTTACCATTCAAAAAAAGAATAACTGCAACTTTGATCAAAACCAAATCTATTTTTTAATTCAAGCCCACAAAACTAATAATACTGTGCTTTCAAAATATATAAATTCTCTATGTATGATTTCAAAAGTAAAATTAGGAATATAATCAAGAGTATTGGTAAAAACAACATAAACAGAAATTTAAAGTTTTACACTAGTTTACTAGGTTACTCTAGTCTAAAATATTTTTAAAATGTTAACAGAAAATTCCAAAGAAAACGAAAAACCAGAATTGTATGAGATTATAAATACTGTTAAATTTATTGGTCAGATATTAACAATATTTAGAATTAATCAAATTTACAAACACACATATGAAAACTATTCACCTGCCACTTTACCTATACCTATGCCTGCCTGAAACTTTTCAGGAAACAGATGAGGAAAATGTCACAGTAAATGACTGGTAACAATCTCACAATAGGTCAACTGAATTGGAACAATTTGGTGAGCAACAGTCAATTACTGGGTGATGTAGCTAGTCTATGTTCATTATATTTTTTGGTGGGGGGGGTGAGTTGTTTCTGTTTTTTATTTTATGTTATTCTTATTATCCCTAGTAAACGGTTTTCATTCTAAGAGTTTCCCCATGATACCTTAAACATTTCCAGTAGGACTTCCTTGCTGACTTCTAATCTTTCAAAAGGTTGCTTTTCTTTTATGATAGCTTTACATATGTTCTCCAGTGTTGCCAATTCTGTGCTGGACACTGCTCTAAAAAGAAGAGCACATGAAAATCAAAAGATTTTTCACACATTATACATTTTCCTTTTTCCTCTGTGCTATAGCCTTTGGCACAGACACATTTTCTAAATTGAATTTGGTGTTTTATTGTAGCAGGATTTAAAGTCAGACATTCACACACAGAGCCAATATTCCTGCTTCTCAGAGCAGGAAGCTGAGATATCAACAGATGCCATGATCTGCCTTCAGATCTTCTCTGGTGCAAGATGTGTAGAAAAGCCCCGTCAGAAGACTCCCCTGTTGGACCATGAGCTCCTCTGAGGCCTGTTCTTCTGTGTGGGCCTCCTTGTCTTTCACACATTTATATTTTTGTTTCCAAGAGATGGCTTAAGTGCTCACTATGCCACTGCCCTTACTGGCTGTGGAATCTAAGCTGGGAGGGATCTGTGTGAACCGCAGTTCGCAGGCGCTCACTCCAGCAATCGGCCTCCACTCTTCATGGACTGACCTCTTGTCAGGCGTTTCCTAGTTGGTGCTCACTCCCCTCCTGCCACATTGGCTTCCTTGTCCTTTTTCATACAGTCACACACATTCCCACACCACGGCCATCCTACAGAAGCCTGAGATTCTCTGCCCCAGACGTCCATAGAAAGCCCTAGTATGCTCAGGGATCGCTCCCTCCCTCCATTTTGCTGTTCCAATGCCACCTGATCCTTCCTGACCACCTGTTTGTCATGACGCACACCTCCCTATGCTTGACTGATGCACCCTCTTACACTCATCACCACCTGTAGGAGATGGCTGCTTGTTCATTTACCGTCTCCCCCCCACAAGGCTGTTAGCTCCATGAGGAAAGACTGATTTGCTCACTGCTGAATCACCAGCACCAAGGACAGAGCACACAGTAGGCAGTAGGGAAAAAAATCTTGTTGAATGAATCCTGGAGTGATGGTAACAAGGGATAAAGCCGGATGTGACACTGCGCTACAATAAGAAATATGTATTTGGTCTTTGTCCAGTTCCTGGCACAGAGCTTCTAGGATCCTGAACTCTGGAGGATAAACACGTATTTTGTGTGCTCATGAAATGACCAGTTGCTGGGGGCTCCTAGGCAGCTTCAGGACAGGGGCTGTCACCAGAAAGATCAAGGCATGATTACAGGGTTAGAACTTTCAGCCCCCTCCCCAACCTCCTTTGGAGAAGAGAGGACCTAGAAACTGAGTTACCTCCTATGGTTAATAACTTAATCCATCATGCCTCAGTAATAAAACCTCCATAAACATTTCTAAACATCGAGGTTCTGGGAGCATCTAGATTGGTGAACACATCAGGTGCTGGGAGGGTGGCATGCCCAATGAGGCATGGGAGCCCTGTGCTGCTCCCATGTACCTCACTGCATGTTATTCATCTGTATCTTGGTCATAACCTTTATAATAAACCAGCAAAAGAAATTGGTATCTGAATTGGGGATGGACTTGTGGGACTGAACCCCTGGTTTGTGAAACCTGTGCTAACTCTGGGTGGTGTCAGAACTGAACTGGTCACTAGACACCCAGTTGGTGTTCAGAGAGTTGGAGAATTAGCTGTTGGGTTAGAAGAAACCCACACATGTGGCCAGAAGTGTTGTAGGTAAGCACATCCATGGTTGGGAGTGGAAACGGTTCAGCCTGGACAGGTGTGTAAGTAGTAGCTACAGAGCGTTGGATGGAGGTCACTAAGCAGATGGAGGAGACAGGCAGAGGCAAAATGCAGCATATTCATCCAGGCAAGGGATGTCAGGGGTCTGAGGGGTTACAGCACAAGTGAGAGAAGGTCAGAAGGATAGGAGAACTTTTCAGGAGATAAAACTGGCAGAACTGGATTGGACAGTGGGATGGTGGGGTGGTGGTGAGGAGTGGGCACGAACTGGATGGACTGAGGTTTCAGTTCTTGGAGCTGGTGGAATTTTTAAGAACTATAAGGAACACCGGGCAGGAAGTGGCCTGGAGTGGCCAGTGGCTAATGACTTCAAGCACAGACGTGCAGAATGCAAAGCCTCTGGCAGTCACTCCTGTCTGGCATTCAGCTGGGTGAAGAAAATCCTTTGAGAAGTTAAACTTGCATCTAAACGTATTAAACTTCCAAAAATGGTTAACCAATCTATAATCACACTATGCAATAAAGCTGATCCCTGAACTACATGGATTTGAACCAAACAGGTCCACTTATACACATTTTCTTCAGCCTCTGCCACTCCTAAGACAACAAGACAAACCCCTTCTCTTCCTTCTCAGCCAACTCAATATGAAGCTGATGAGGATGAAGACCTTTATGATGGTCTATTTCCACTTAATGAACAGTAAATACATTTTCTCTTCTTTATGATTTTCTTAATAATATTTACTTTTCTCTGGCTTACTTTATTATAAGAGTACAGTATATACTATATCTAACACAAAAAATATGTGTCAATCAACTATTTGTGCTGTAAGTAAGGCTACCAGTAGGTTATTAAGTTTTAGGGTAATCAAAAGTAATACTCGGATTTTTGACCACATGGGAGTCGGCATTCCTAACCCCCATGTTGTTTAAGGTCAGCCTTTCAGCGTTACTAGGCTGATATGTAACTGCCACAAAATAATGAAATAGAAACATGCATTCAGGAGTCAGTATGCAGTGGTGTTACCTGTCCTCGATGAACATGTCATAATAGAATCCGTTTTCAATGGGTGGACCATAGCACAGGTGGCCTCCATAGTAAAGCTCCATGGCCTCCCCGAGAATGTGGGCACTGGAGTGCCAATATACCTGCATGGCATGGAGAGGCTGTCAGCGACCACAACCAGGTCACGGACGATGAGTAAAAATAACGTAAGCAAGTGACACATTTTAAGGAGTTAAGTGGCCAGACCCAAAGGCAACATCAATTTGAAAAGAAAATCTGCAATGGTCACTTAGAAAAGAATATTCCAGAGTCCTCTCTGGCACTCTGTCAGAGTCACTCCCATAGCCCTAGAGCAGAGCTGCTCTGCTGAGAGCCAAGGTGAGGGCTCAGTTAGACATCACTTCCTCTGCACATAGTCACTGTGGACCACTACCCCCTCGGGACACGAGCATAGCAACTGCAAGGAGCCCTGATGGAGGCCCAGTGTGGGAGGAAGGCCGAAGAGTGCCAGATGCTAGCTGCCCTGTTTTTCCTCAAGGGGCAGCATCTGTGAGCTAAACATGGAGCACTAAAGAGGCTGCTCATAACATTGCTAAAGTTAACGAGGTTTCACCTCTCCATGCAGTCTTCACATGTGTGGGAGTCTGAAAGAAGGTTGGCAAAATAAAAGTGTGGCCAGGGAATGCCTGTGGCTGCCTGAAACCCCTGAGCAGTGTACACATGGGCTAATTAACCGAAGTCCAAGGGAGGGGTCATCAGATCTACAAGTTCAAAAAGTTGATTTGGCTTTTGAATTCCCAAAGAATTAATTTTAGTTATTTATAGGTAGCCTAAAACTAACCAAAGTCACCAAGTAAATATACAATAGGTTCCAAAGGAGCAAGAAGACGGAGTTCTCTGTCAGCACTTTCCCTTTATTAAATAGAAAACATATGACAATTAGAAAACTGCTTGATAAAATAAACTGGAGCAATGAGAGTGAGCAGCTGTGTGCAATCCCAACGCACAGCAAGGCTGGGATGGGTCTACAAATGGGCCCAGAGGTCCATCCTGGGAGCAGACATTCTTCAGATGCAGCCAGGACAGCAGGCTGGCTGCCAGCCTCAACCCACCTCTCCCCTGTGGGGAACCGTCCACACCTAGATACCTGCTGAGCCAAACCTGTGTTAGGTGTTGGGGACACAAGAGTGAAAGAAACAGATCTAGTCATTGCCCCCAGTGGTCACAGCCTACTAGAAAAGAGACAGGCCACAAACAGACCTGGAAGTGTGCAATCATAAGATGAGAAGGGAAATAACTGGGAATGAACAGTCTGTAGCAAAGAATACTAGTGAATTCCCTACATCCATGGGGTTCATGGAGCCTGTGTGACTCATGTGTAGGGGATAGCACAAAGTAAGGAAGATTAGAGTGCAAGGAAGGGCCAGCAACCATGCAGGGCTGGGAGGGGAAGTGGGTTTTATTCCAAATGCAATGGGATATGTTAAAGGATTTTAAGCAAAAATAATTTACATTTTAAAACCCTGCTTGACAGCTGTACAGGAATTGACTTAGGGGACCAAACAGCTAGTTCATTGGGTAGTGCTATGACAAAATGGTGCAGATTAGCAGGCAGTGGTGATGGAGAGAGTGGGAAGTGGGCAGATTCTGGGCCAGTAGCAAAGTAACATCTGCTGGGCTTACCCATACACTGAGGACCGGAGTGGAAGGAGGGGAGCGCTCACACACAACCTCTAAGGTCCTGGGCGGAGCAACTGGGTAAGGAGTGGAACAGTGCACTGAGATGGCCATGTGGTAGAGGGCTTTTAGAAAATGCTTCAAAACATATATCACAATTAAAATGTTTCAGTTTGTTAGTGCAAAAGGCAGTACTCAGTACTGCAGCTAAAACCACAAGTCCCTTCCCGTGACGCTGTGCTCAGTGCCTGTAGCCAAAACCATAAGCTTGTGCTATTGTTACAAAAAGTGCAAAACCTTACACCATGAAAAGCCCCTTCCCCCGCAAAGCCAATGTAAAACCTATATAAGCTGAGACCCGACTGCCATCAGGCCCAGGCTTTGTGATTCGAGTCTGCTGGGCCAAAAATGCCAGCATTCCAGTAATAAATGCAGCTTCCTGATTATCAGCCTCCGGGTCATGGTCTCTCTGATTTGTTTTCCCACAACAGGCAAGCAGGAAAGAGATGTATTTTGGGAGTTAAAATCAAGAATTCGGTGGTGAATGTACTGAACTAAGGTTCCTGTATAGTATTTAGTTGGAGACATCACACAGAGAATAGTGCATACACACCAAGGGCTGTCTAGCTAGAGTTGACAGTTGAAATTTACAGAATTTTACTTTCTGGATCACTTTTAATTAAACACAGTTTTATTAATAGTGCATTGTTTAGATACTTTGTATATTTAAAACAGAAATCATAATGTGCTTTGTACTCTGGATTAAGAAATTAAGAAATTTAGCATAAGCTTCACAATTAATATGACCTAAGCTAACCATAGATTAGGTTTTATGGAAATAATGAACTGCTTCAAGGATTCCTGCAAAGTTAAGGTGACAATGTATGTCAGAAACCTATGTGAAAAGGTGGTGTTTATATCAGAGAAAATTACATTAATAAGGAAAAGATATTTGAGTTTTGATAATTTCTCCCAATTTTCCTATACATATTAAATTATAAGGCAGAACCATTTTAAAGAGTCTATTAAAAATTCATTTCAAATACACATTCACTTAATAACTAAAGCATCCTAACTTAGGGAAACAATTACTTTAAGAATAACAAATATGGCTACTTAAAAATTGATATATATTTGTATATATTAATTCCACAAATATTTATTAAATATTTGTTAAATATCAATATTCAAATTTTAAATCTTAGAAGTCCCACCAAAATTCAACATTCTTGAATTCACTATGTGTCTTCTTATATAATGTAGTTTACAAAAAACACAAATACCCAAAGTTTGGTTGTCAGGTTTTTAAATACTTACAGCTTCAGCTTCCTCATTCTCAAACATAAGCAGCTCCAGAGTGGAATCTCCTTCCAATGGGCGGTCCAGGTCCCACAATTCACCATTGACTTTGGCTATGACTGTGTTTTCAGCCAGTTCTTGACTAGTAAGAGAAAAACCACTGGGAAGTTAACCTTATCACTGTTACAATGATTCATTAAAAGAAAAGATTACAGTAACTTCCAGGGTATTTTTTTTTTTTTTTTTGAGTTGGAGTCTCACTCTGTTGCCCAGACTGGAGTGCAGTGGCCGCTCCCGGCCACCGCAGCCTCGACCTGCTGGGCTCCGGCGATCCTTCCGCCTCAGCCTTCCAAGTAGCCAGAATTACAGGCATGCGCTACCACACCCAGCTGATTTTTTGATTTATTGTAGAGATGAGGTCTTGCTGCCCAGGCGGGTCTCAGGCAATCCACTCACCTCAGCCTCCCAAAGGCGCAGGATTACAGGCTGAGCCACCGAGCCCGGCTTATTTTTTTCCCCAAGCAGTTAGAAAGCACAAATATAAACTAATAGGATAGAGATTTTTTTATTTTGCAACATTTATTTTATGTACAAAGGTAATACATGTTCACTGCAGCAAAAAAAAAAAGGGAAAACAGAGCACACAGAATAAAATTAAGATCACATACCAATCTCAGAAATAACATTTTGTTACATTTCTTTCTCAAAACATTTTGTTACTTTTCTTTCTAGTTGGTATTCTCCATCCATCCACCCTACCCACACACAGGTACTTTTTTAAAAAGCATAGTTGGCACTTGGTGGCTCATGCCTACAATCCAGCACCTTGGGAGGTCAAGGCAAGAGGATAGCCTGAGGCCAGAAGTTTGAGACCAGCCAGCAACAGTGAGATCTTGTCTCTAAAACAATTAAAAACTAGCAGGGCATGCTTGGGAGGCTGAGGCAGAAGGATCGCCTGAGCCCAGGAGGTAGAGGCTGCGATGAGCCATGAACATGCCACTGCACTTCAGCTTGGGTAACAATGCGGAAAAAAAAATTTGGCCAGGTACAGTGCCTCATGCTTATAATCGCAGCATTTTGGGAGGGTGAAGTGGGAGGACTACTTGAGCCCAAGCAGTTCGAGACCAGCATGGGCAACACAGCGAGACCTTTCTCTACAAAAATTAAAAAAAAAAAAAAAATTAACCAGGCTTGGTGGTGCATGTCTATAGTTCCAGCTACTCAGGAGGATAAGGCAGGAGGATCTCCTGAGCCCAAGAGATCAAGACTGAGGCAAGTCATGATTGTGCCATTGTACTCCACCCTGGGTGATAGAGTAAGATCCCGATTAAAAAAGTTATGGCAATTTTTTTTTTTTTTGTAGCTGGAACTTCAGGAATACACCACCAAGTCTGGCTAATTTTTTAATTTTTTATAGAGATGAGGTCTCACTGTGTAGCCTAGGTTGGTCGTGAACTCCTGGGCTCAAGCAATCCTCCCATCTCTACCTCCAAAAATGATGGGGTTACAGGTATGAGCCACCATGCCCAGCCTATATTATAAGTTTCTAACCTGTTTGTCACTTCCATGCCATCAGACAGACTCCTAAAGCAGTCTAGAAGTATCATATTCATGAATGAAGCCTCCACTCCTGCACATTTAGGTTCCCTTTAAGTGTTGCTCTCTAAAAGTACACTTCACAGACATCCACACACTTGCATCTAGTGGCCTCCATGACTATCTTGTGAGAATAAGCCCACGAAAGTGAAACTGCTAGGTCAAAGGGCAAGCATCTTTGAAAGTGTTCTCAAATATATCATCTGAGTGTATTACTTCCACGTACCCTAAAAGGTTTTTTTAAATCATTCTCAATACAATGTTGAAAATTGTTTTATTTGATTTCTTTACTAATTTTAGTAATGCTTACTAGCTGTTACTTTTATGAACTGTCCACATTCTTTGCCTATTTTTTAGTGAGATGTTGATCTTTCTCTCTCTCTCTCTCTCTCTCTGTGTGTGTGTGTGTGTGTGTGTGTGTGTGTGTGTGTGTATGTGTGTGTATGTGTGTGTCTTTTAAATAACATTTACTGCTTGAAAATTACTGACAAAAATACCAAGTTAAGAAATCTGGAAAGCACAGAAAAGCACAAAGCAAAAAATATCACCCACAATCCCACTAACCAGAAATTACTGTTAACATTTTGTTATTTGTTCTTTCACATTATTTGATATATATACCAATATAAAAAATGTAATAGCATCATCACATATACATGCTATTTTATAATCTACTTTTTTTTTTGAGTTGGAGTCTCGCTCTTGTTGCCCAGGCTGGAGTGCAGTGGCACACACACAACCACTGCAGCCTTGACCTACTGGGCTCAGGCGATCTTTCTGTCTCAGCCTTCCGAGCAGCTGGAACTACAGACACATGACACCAAGAGTTTTTGTGATTTATTGTAGAGACGAGGTCTCACCAAGCTGCCCAGGCTGGTCTCGACCCCGTGGGCTCAGGCAATCCTCTCACCTTGGCCTCCAAAGTGCTGGGATTACAGGCTGAGCCACCAAGCCCAGGCGAGAAATGTTTTTTTTAAACAGCCTGTAACCTACTTCTTAAACTTAACGATCAATCACAGAATTTTCCCTAATAGGACACAGGCTTGAAAAATGCTAGAAGCAGAACTGCTAGGTCAAAGAAAATGCAGTTTTAGTGATTTCTGTTGGAATACACTGGAAAATGTTCCTGCCAGCAAAGGCACAAGAGTTTTTCATCTCTGTACTCTCATGATGTCAGGTTCTATTAAGTCATACCACTTCTACAATGTAATGTTTTAGTTTGTATTTCTGTGATTAACTTGAGCAAACAGTACAGCATTGTGGTTAGGAGGACACCAGTGTGAAGCCAATCTACTCAGCTTCAGCTGTCTCATCTATAAAATATGGATTATAGTACCTTCCTCATACATTTATTCTAAGATGACATAATACATGCATATGATAGCACTTAATCAATGTTAGATTTGTTATTAACGAAACAAATTTTATTTTCATTTTACTGGCTGTAATAGACTGCTACGCATTCCTCAGACCCATTCTGCCCTTCTAGAAGAAGAGTTTTGCAGACTTCCTTGCAGCTAGATGTGGCCATAAGAACAAGTTTAAAGCCAGTGAATACAAGCAGAAGTGATACACTTCTGTGTCTCAGCCTTAAGATAGTGGAGGGCACTTCACCCTGTCTCCACCTTCTGTGGATGGGAATACACATGCTGTTCCCTCTGGACCATGTAGACAAGGCAACACTGTACCAGATGGCCCAGCAACTAGATGCAAGGGACTCAGGTCCCCAAATAACTGCATGGGGAAGCACTGCCCTGCCAACCTGGACTACTCACCTCCAGACTGCCATATGAGAGAGAAACTGTGACCACGTTGACTCCACTAAGCTTTTTGCGGAGTCTCTTGCAGTAGCTTAGACTATACCATAAGTAATACAGAAATAAGGACCTGGAATTAACAACAAAACATGATCCACTGGCTAAGCAGACTGGCAGTGGGTTATGAGGAAACAGACTCTAAGACTGCAAAGCCAATAACTTTTGTTATGGCATAGCACAGTATTTGATACAACTTGCAAGCAAGCCATGTGTTACGGTGCTTGCAGCCTATGAGGAAGCAGAGAGAAAAGGGCAGAGCATTGGTATACACAGGATAACTCAGTGCTTTTAGCAAGCACCACCAGAATGAGAAAAGCTCAGATGAGTATGATCTAGTTTGCGAGCAGAGATGGAAGGGAGAGGGCTTTGCCAAGGGAAGCTCTCTCTGCCTGTAGCGTGTTATTCAAATTGCCTCAGAGTCCAGAAATCTGGTGCTGGGCCATACTGGAAAGACAATCATCTGCACCAAACAGCAGAGGGACGGATACTGACAGCCCTTCGCAAAGGGCACACATGAAGACAGACAATAGGAGCCAGAGAACTGCAAGGATTAGAGAGTAAGTGCACTGCCCTCCCACAAGTCTGGTGTTTCACATAACCTCAGTCCACTAAACTGAGGAAGAGAGGAATGAGCCAAACACAAAAGCCAGGAAACAAAGGGTGAGAGAGTCTCTGCCCAGAAGGATTCTTTAAGTGAGATTACTTTCAAGTGGAAGTGATTAGCAGCAAACAGACCAGAAGCCTACTACAGTTAGCTATTTGAGGGAATTGAACTGCCAAACTATAAGCCCTGCTTACAAATATCTGTGGCTACATGATCCTTCAAGGAACCCTCAACCCCCAAGGGTGGTGACTGTACAGCCCCCAAAAGGACAAACTCTCCTGTACTTTAAATAGGACAAACGAAGGTAATGGGCAACTATAAACTTCCCAAATAGCAAAGTCAGGGCCCATGTAGGACTGCAGACAAGACAGCTGCTTCCAGAGAACAAAGGGTGGCCAGATGGGCTGATCCAAGCACTAACCACTGCCAGGCTGGGGGCCTCACAATCGCTGCAGAATCAGATGACTTCTGTGTACCACTGTCTGTTGTCTTTCTCCTGTTTTCAGATGGACACTTTAATTGTGATTGTCTTGTGTTTCTTGCTTAGATGTGCAGCATGAGCACACTCTTCCATTAGTTTATTTGTTGTCGGTATACAAGTAGCCTGATGGGGGTGTCCTGCACATCACTTGGAAATCCCAGGCTTTGACCTATGGAACTTGGAGTTGTCTCACTTGGGGAGCAAGTGTTGAATGCTGAAAGAATATGCATACTCACAGATATCTGGATGTCAGAGGGGCAGACGGTGGCAGACTCTCTGTTGTCCCCTGAACCATTCCTCTCTTTTGTGGTGTGAATGCTTTAGCTGGACATGTGGTTAGTCTGCCAATGGAGCTACATTTCCATTCTCTCTTATAGCTAGGTGTGGCCATGTAACTGAATGTGGGCTCAAAGGATGAAGTGGAAATGGAAGTGAGCCAATATGGGGTCTTGGTCACAAAGTGTCACTGTTCTTCCTCCTCTCTTCCCCATCTACACCAGGGTCCATGAATGGGACCCAGCTTTTACTGCTGGCCATGAACAAACCTTACCTAGGGATGGCAGATCAACACGATGAAAAGAAGCTGGGTCCATAAATGACTGCATGGACCAGAGATGTCCATCAGCCTGAAGTGGTCACTTCTAGATTGTTACATGAGCCATAGTTTTTAGGGGTCTTTGTTGCAGCAGTTTCGTCTAATTCACTGGGTCTTAAATTTAGCTTGCAGCAGAAGCCCTTGGAGGGTTTATAAAAACATATATATCTGCTTTAGGGGAGTCCCATAAATCGCTTTTCTAACAAGTTTCCAGGTGATGCTGATGCTGCCGGTTTGGGGACTACACTTTGAGAAACACTGACCTAAGACATTTAACTTGCAACCTGACTTTCCTTGAGAAAACATAAACTTAGTTTTGCCCTCAAGCCCATTTTTCCCTAGCACATCATTCCTGGAAAACACGTAAACAGGCTGTGAGGGCCTTCAGGGTACACAATATAAAAGGATCAGAAATACAACCTCAGTTATTGTTTTCAAAGGAAACGTGAGGATTCAGTGTAATATGGTCTTTCAAGGATTATACTTTTTTCTTTTCTGTTATATATTTTTATTAGAACAGGAAGAGATTGTGTTCTGATATTCAATTACTTATGTAAATGGCCTTTTTAAAAGCCAGAGGGAAAAAAATAATTATATTTAATTTGTTCAACTGAACAAGAAAAAAAGTTTAGCAGTCCCTACAAAAATGTTTTCACCAGGCTTTCACCAGGTTTCACCAGTCCCTACAAAAACGTTTTCACCAGGTACTATTACTTAACACTGACCAACTTTTCCAAACTGTGGTTTACCTAATTTCAGCAGCCACTTGATAAGGTGTTGTTTTCCAAACCTCCCCTTCCACAGTTGGCCCATCCACCACTTGCACTGTGATCACATCACTCGTGTTCTCCTTGTTTTCATAAATGGCAAGTAAGAGCTGATGATCTTTCTTCAGTATTTCAAAAAGCTTCAATCTTTCTTTTATGAAATATGGTTGCTGTTTCACCTGAAAATCATTAGAATACAATGAGGTTTATATGCCTAAATCAGTTCCACCCCCTCACTGCCTTCCCAGCATACCATAAGTCTATTCTCTCACTCCCACTTACAATGGTTTGAATTATAATTTTTTTACTTTACAATGGTGTGAACGGGATATTCATTCAGTAGAAACTGTACTTGAGTGTCCATACAACCATTCTGCTTTTCACTCAGTACAGTACTCAATAAACTACATGTGACATCCAACACTTTACCATAAAAAAGGCTTTGTGTTAGATGATTTTGCCCAGCTGTAGGCTAACATAAGCGTTCTGAACACATTTAAGGCTAAGCTAGGGTGTTTGGTAGGTTAGGTGTACTAAACCCCAACATAAGTCAAACAGCAAGGACCTCCAGAAGACTTCTCTGCACTTACCTTAATTACTGCTTAGCTCTAAAGGTCCAGCTCAAAGCTTCCCTCCCCTAATTACTGCACCCATGGGCATCTCCCTTTTCCACTGTTTACAGGGTGTGTACACGAATCACAGAGCACAGCACACCATCTTACTCTGTTCTAGTCGTTTCTCCTGCATTTGCCTAACTCCTCAACCAGAATGATTCCTTTGAGCCAGGTATTCCTCCTTTGCTCCTACCAAGTGTTGAAGCTGGATACTTTCTGGTTGCTTTAATGATTTATATTAACAGAGTAGCCAGTATTCTTATTGTTTTAATGATTTATATTAAAATAGCAAAGTAGCTAGTATTCTTATTGTTTTAATGATTTATATTAACAGAGCAAAGTAGCTAGTATTCTTAATACAAAAGAAGAGCTATTTGGGTTGCTATCTCAACTTCAATAGACTGAGGAGCACTCTAAATACAGGCATGTGGGTAGCTCATTTCTCAGTTAGGACATCACATATGTAAGGTTTGCCAAGTTTTAAATATACGAATGTGGCCTCAAAATAATTTCATTAGTAATTACTTTTTATTAAAAATCACAGATAATTAGCTATATACATACAAATTTAAAATTATAGGTAGTATCTTATATTGTTTCCATAGCAACAATTTACCTCACTGTCAGGCTCATTTTCCTTCCTTTTCTTCTTTTTGGTATCTTTTTCCTGGCTTTGACTAGAAGAAGGCTGAAAGACACATTATAAATAACTCACACCAAAGGCAAGAAAGACTAACACTCTCCAACTTGAGGAAGGAGTGGGACATGCCAGCAGGCTGCAAGGGCCCCATGTCTCGAGGCTCATAGCTGGGCTCTCCTGACCATCACCTACAACCCTCAGTGGGCAAGTCATTTTCCAGAGTTCAGTCCTTCCTCTTCTGTGCATTCACATCCTTGCTAAGCACGTTTAATATATCTTGCTCTTTAAAGTATTCTCCCCTAAGCTTTAAACAAGTATGGATGCTGGGAAACGTGTAGCTATCAACATAGACTTCAAATACATGATTTCATGTTGCTGGTTCACCACAGTTGTCCTCCCCGAAGAACTGAAGAACAACTCACAGCCCGAGAAGCTGCAGGACTCAGAAAGTGTATGATGTTAAAAAAAAAAAAAAAAAAGACTCTGGCATTTAATGGACTAAAACAGTAAAATACTGTACTAAATAATAATGTTAAGTATACAGCTCTCTCAAGATAAGTACCAAGACAAGCAAACAAAAAACTAAAACCATGTGTCCTAAAAAAAACTCCTAACAAGTCATCAGAGATCATGGAAAGGCTTATACATGCGGCTGTTGGTCGTTCTGCCCCAGAATGAGTTTGAAACACGCCAGCATTTTTTCAAACAAATCAAAATGCTATTTCTGCTACTTAAAACAAAAAACAAACAAACGTGTGGCAGGCTATTTAAGGGAAGAGCTGAGGAAGCACACCACTAGGTCAGCCTGCAGACTGACGGAAATCCAGCGGTTCTCCAGAAGCGCAGGGCGGGGCACGACAGACGAGGGCCGAGCAGGGTGCGGGGGTAGCACGCGCAATGCTCCGTGCCCGGCGGCCCGCACACCCCGCGCGGCCCCTGACCTCCCAGAGCCGAAAGCCACCAAGCGCGCGC